AGTAGCTTATCAGTGGTGACTGTCAGTTAATGTACATATGGCAGAAATGTACGGAAAAATCAATTAAGGACGTAATCAAACAGACGATGAACACTATTAACAGCAATTATTATATGATGCAATCAAACTTATAGCAAAATGTGGTAGTTCTGTATGTTGTTTCAGGGTTGGCATCATCTGAGGTCCTCTGAGGGGTTGGCATCATCTCTACTCAGGTGTTACGGATCCAGACTGAAGCTTGTGTAAATCCTAGTTACCACGGGATAGTTGCATCTTTGGGATTGCTAACGCTTGGGTTCTTCAGCATAATAAAGTGACACATTTTGCCCCAGGTTTCAGTTTTTCCAGGACATTCCACACTCCAATGATTCCTGAATACATTTTTTTTTTTTTGCCAAAAGATGCCAAAGAGATTTATTCATTACCAACCTTTTTTCATATAATCAGTATTTATTTATTTTTTTATATGGAAGTTTCTCTCATTTCATAATTCATAATTCTCAATTCATGAACCCATCCCAAAATAAAAGGATAAGGGACTTTTAGGTAAGGAAAGTTGGGCTTTTTTTTTTTGAGATCTGGCAACCTAAGCGAAATGAACAAAAGTACAGAAGAGTTTCTTCTGCAGCAAATGACTGTATTGGGTAAAATACATCTCTATACAGCTCCATTTCACACCTATTGTGGGCACCATAACCTACTTTGTGGACAGCCATTGCCAGTAAAATGAAAAGAAGTGGAAAGAAATAATCAATGTCTGCTTGTGTACTGCATTTGTCTGAATGGGATCAAATGTAAGCTTGAAAAGGGAAGCCTTTATGTTTGATGAAACGTGTCCTCGAACACACATGACGGCCCTTTACACGAAATGATTTGATTTCACCTCCAACACGATCTTTGCGCGTCAAAGCGCAGCTGGAACAAGCCGCTAGTTATCATCTGCCATAAATATTTCTAGCCTCAATCCATTGCTTTTCATCTATCCGCCTCCCCTCTCTGTGTCAAGCTGCAGTGCCATTCAATTTACAGTACAGCTCGGTGGTAATACATGCATATCGGAAAGAGCGGCCTTGCGGTATTACCAGACGCCGGCGAGATATAGACTGACACATCTTCTTGCCATCGCTTTAAATAAACAATCCATCTGGCCTCAGATTGCTATAAAGCCCTCAACGTTCAAGTCTCACACAGATCCAGCACGCGCTAGAGAGAGAGACTGTATCAACGTCGTCATCGCAAGTCAAGTGGAGTGTAATGGAGAGTGTCAGTGTCAATTTGGCTTTGCTGGCGCCCCTCTCCCCTTCATCTGGGCTGATTTTAATAATCCCTGTCAAACACCAAACAGCTCGCACTTCCTCTCCGACACGACAGCCCTTTCTCCTCGCGCAGACAGAAATCTCAACATTAATTTAGCCCGCACAATGGCAAAGGCTGTCCAGCTGGACAAATATTATTTCCCTCACTTGACAGACTCCGCAGTTAAGCTCGCGTGTTATTATTTTCTAAACTCTATTCAAGCCTCGACTACTGTCTGAGGGGAAAGAGTGAAGAGAGAGAGAGTGACTTGTGTAGGTTTTTAAGACACAGGATTAGGAACTGAACAGTGTAATTACACTGAGACCGACTGCGTCAATGTCTGTGCGCACACGCGTGTGTGTAGCCGATGTTACAAAGGGATGCGCATCATCGCCCGTGTCTCATCCACATGAGAGTTGTGGGAAAAGTGTCAGGTTCATGCTGTCACCACATAGGGCCCAATTAGGCAGATGCACCCTCCATTTCCTTTGTCTTGTTATCTATTTTGAACTCAAATGTTGTGGAGTCCCAGAGTAGTTCTGAAAGCTGCCACACAAGGAAGAGAGCTGGAGCTGTGCATAAGCGTGTGTGTGTGTGTGTGTGATAGAGAGAGAGAGAAAGAGCTGGGGCAGATGTATTCTCTCGACACTTAAAGACACACTAGTATTTCTCTGCATGTCTACCCTTACAAACTGCTCCACACTCAGAATAGAGGTAGTGGTGTGAAATATTTAGCAGTCAGTGCCTCTGCTTTAAAACTGTCTAAAAAGGTTTTCTTATCATGTTCTAGCTCCCAAAACTCTTAAATAAAGCTTTTGGGATATTTAATGTATTAAAGAAGTATATTGTTTTACTCCAAAATAGTGAGAATGTTGTGTTTGTTGGTTGGTTGGGACAAGCAAAAGTGCGCAATATTCATACAACACAGGTGAATGTGAGAAAAGAAAGAATGCAAGGAAGAAAGAAAAAAGTTTCAGGGGAATAAATCCAGTCTGTGTTTACTGACTGAGTACATGTTGTTGTTTTTTTGCCGGATGACTTTTCCTGAACTTGTCCTGGAATGGTTATGACAATATTCTCACTATACTTCACAATTTTTGGCTATCATGTGAACTACTGTATTCAAAAGTTTCCACTGCATTTCAGTTTCAGGTGAATTAGTCAAAATATGTCAGGAGCTAGAACATGACTGAGAGCTGCAGTGGCACATTTGTTTAAAAAAAAGAAGAAGAAATAAAAAAAGAAGTCACCTTCATATATAGGAAATGTAATGCAATTTATGTTCACAATTACTGTTATGATTAATTAAATAAAGGCTACCATGGTAACCACTCACCATGGTGAGTTTTTTTCTCAATGTCATCCAACAACACTTAATTTTCAAGAGCTAGAAATCAGGTTGTTTAAGCAGGTTGAAAAGGACACATTTCATTGCAGAGCATTTTAATTCACATCGATAGCCTATTCATAATTCACATTTAGTCAATCACAGTTGGTCCTATGGGTAGTTGAAATATGATTATGGCTTGATTGCAGGGTCATATACATAGATTTAAAGTCGTAAAAAAAAATGCATAGTAGATATGTCCACTTCCAATTTTAGCCAAGCATAAAAATTTCAAGCTCAGAGACCCATTTTTACACAGTAAATTCTAGAAACAAAAGTAAAGAAACAAACTAGAACTAGAGACAAAATCAAAACGATCAATTCTAACAAGCCTACACTACAAATGTTTAGGGTCGATATGTTTTTTTAATACTTTTATTCAGCAATGTTGAGTTAAATTGATTAAAAGTGATAGTAAAGATATTTATAATGTTACAAAATATTTCTATTTACATTTAGTCATTTAGCAGATGCTTTTATCCAAAGCGACTTACAAATTAGGACACTGGAAGCAATCAAAATCAACAAAAGAGCAATGATATGCAAGTGCTATGACAAGTCTCGGTTAGCCTAACGTAGTACACGTAGCAAGGTTTTTTTTTTTTTATTATATAATAAATTAAAAGAAAACAGACAGAATAGAAAAAGAATAGAGTAAGCTAGTGTTAGAGGCCTTTTTTTTTTTGCTTTGTGTTAATAGTATAATAAATAAAAAGAAAACAAATAGAATACAAAAAGAATAGAGAAGCTAGTGTTAGTTTTTTTTTTAAGAGAAAAAGCAGCTAGTAAATGAATAGAGTGCAAGTCTAAAAGGGTCTTTTTTTAAAGAATAGAATTAGAATAGATATTGCTAAAGTTAGAGGGTCAAATAAAGATGGAATAGATGTGTTTTTTAGCCAATTCTTGAAGATGGCTAAGGACTCAGCTGCTCGGATTGAGTTGGGCAAATAAATACTGTTCTTTTAAAGTTTCTATTCATCAAAGAATCATGAAAAAAGTACCACAATTTCCACAAAAATATTAAGCAGCACAACTGTTTTAAAAATAACAAATCAGCACATTACAATGATTTATGAAGGATCATGTTACACAGAAGTTTGAAGTAACGGCTGCTGAAAATTTAGCTTTGCCATCACATTAATAAATTACATTTCAAAATATATTAAAATAGTAAGTAACAGTGATACTATTTTACAATATTATGGTTTACACTGTATTTTTGATCAAATAAATGTAGGCTTTGTGAGCATAAGATCATTAAAATGAAAAAAATAGGCCTATATCTTTCGATTAATAAAATCTGCATTCATAATAACTAGGCTATAAAAGAATTAGCAAAATGCTGTTAAAATAGAATTGCAGTATGTCACACCAAATCACATCACTTCCCAAAAGCATTTCATGTCAACAACCCATCATCAAACAGCTCTTTGATAGCACACATAAGTACAGGGCGGTTCTTTCAAAGCATTTAACTATTGTACTACATCACCACTGATGGTCCAAATCCATTATCACACCACACACACACACACACACACACACACACCAGTAAATACCACTAAACACTGAGGTTAAGGCAAAGTACACAGTACCTTTTCACGCTGTGGTTTCAGGGGCTCTTCATCACATTAAATCCAACAGCAATGAAGGACTATCAGGGCTCAAATCCAAGCAGAATTGTCAGGTGCATTTCTTCCCAAATCTTTACTTTTCATTGCAGTGAAATGACCTAAATGATCTGAGAAGTGTTTACTATTGCAATCAAATCTAAAAGCATGAGTCTAACAGTGTCGAGTAAATATAGCAAATGGACAGTCTCACACACTGAGACAGCACTAATGGAAGGAAACTGTAATGGGAATGTAAGAAATAGTGTTTCAGTCATTTATATCGATCCACAACATGAGATTGTAGACAAAAGTGTCGTATAATATTAAAAGGCCTTCTGATGGTTAAATAACATGCGGTCTAGCTCGCTTACGAGGACGAATAGTTTAACTGTTCAGCCGTCGCATCCGTTTGTTTGTAAACACATGTGGTGACGCACTGTTGTGATTCTTCAGCGAAAAGCGTCTCTGACAACCAACCGGAAGCATATCAGTATTTCCGTGTTACGGAACAGAGTATATCACAGAGAAAAGGGGGGAGCGTGTACTTGGTAATATTATAATATTCTCCTCAGTCGTTGTTTGTACTTCATAAATGATCTCTCTTTTATTTTAGACATGATTTCAGTACTTTTTATAAGTGTATGCACCTCAAGTTAGGGACAGTAATATTTATGTGAGTTTGAACATATTGGTCACCCCTAATATTATACCGTGGTCAGGCAACACACTGTACGCTAGTTTTGAAGTGCAACTAAACTAAGCGAAATGAATGACAGAAACAACGAAAGGGAGAAATATCTAATCCATCTAATCTTACAGTTAGCGTCATATTAATCATGCTTTGAGTGTCTTATATATACAGTACTGATGGTCGCTCGATAAAATGTCACTTTATATAGACGAATGGTCAGTGATGACATTTGCCGCGCCGTTGTAGTAAGAGCGAGATCAAACTGTCCAATTCATCATATCAGAGTGATTTCACGGGTTTCAGTTTCAGGTAAGATACTATGTACGCATCTTATTATTGTAAAGCAGCTGTCAAAATCTCAATCTAATTCAGATCCAGTAAATTCAACTTTACTTGCGATTCTTCTGTTCTTTAGTGTTTGTAAACAGCCAATAGCTGTAATATATTTATCATATAATCAGTTTTTTTTTTCACTAGGATGATGGACAACAAATACATCTTTCAAATGTCTGGCATCAAGAATCATTCCCAGAAAAGACAGTTACTCCATGGCATCAGAAAGCTGATATCTGAAGATCTGATAAGCAGATATATTACTTACTGTAACAACCTTATAAATGAAGAGTTCTGCTGTTGTACAGTGGCCCCAAAATATTTGGAGAGTTTAATCAGACATAATGTGTTTGACTGTGTTTGCATTAGATACGAAATATCAAACAGAATTTATTAAATAATACTGATAATAACAATAATACACATGAGAACATACATTAAGCGAAATATTTAACAAGCGCGTTGTTTTAAATATTTAAATAACAGTTAATATACCTACATTATCTACCAATATACCTACAAGTAATTAGAAAAAGCGTTCAAGTTAATTGTAAGAAAAGGTCTAACATTATCTGCAGAATTTACTTATTTTGATATATTATAAAATGTAATTCAATATTTTTAACCTCTCAAAAGTGCACTGCTATATAATTCAGTTAATTTCACACAAGCCTCTCTTCCACGACATCTAGCATTTCTTACTGTGCATGTAGAAAATGATAAAGTGTTGGTGATTAGCCCTGAAAAATGACTCTTCCCGAATTGCTTCCCGATGCTACAATGTATTTCGGACCATGTAATTTTGTCCTTGCCCTCAATACCATCTTAATATAGGCACAGATTGCTCTCTCTACTAATTGAAACCCTCATGAGAATAAATTCAACCTCCCAAGTTCTTGACCTTTTCCTAAATTATCTCATGGTAAGGCTGAAGACCAGATTAGAAAGGTGACTTTACATGTCCGATAAAAGAGATTTTTTTTTAACTTAATTTACAGTTCACAATATTTCATTGACACATGTTTATATGTTCCAGGATTATAAGGAGGCAACAACTCACCTCATCGCCAAAAAAGCTTTAGCAAGTGAAAAGTTTATCGCAGCCTGTGCTTGAGGTCTGTGATATTGAGAGTTGGCTGTCATAATCGAGTAGAGAGCATGCAATAAAATAATAGCACATAAGCATAAAATAACAAACTGAAATGGTGAATCTGTTTGGTTTCTTTCTGTTTCAGGGAAGTGGATAGTCACTCCAGAGTTTGTTCTGGACAGTGTGAATCAAAAAGCGTGGCTCCCAGAGGCTTCATAGGAATTAAACTTAACAGCTCAGACTCCTGAAACACCCAATCCACTGAAAACATGGAGAGAGAGAGGGTGTCTAATGGCACTGTGTCTGGAGCTTTTCAGGTGAACGTCACTGTATTGTTAACTCGCTTAGAAAACAGCTAAAAGAAATTAAACATGTTTCATTCCCATCTCCACCTGTAGGACTGGGTAGTGCTCATTGACATTGATGATCCAGCGAGGAGAAGTATGTACTGTATGTCAGGTCAGGATGTGCACAGTGACAACTTTGTACAACATGCCTTCAGAAATGTTGTTGATGTAGTTGGAGGCTCATGGTGAAACTGCTAATGGGAATTTTTACAAAGCACATTTTGTTTGCAGGATATTAAAAGCAGGCAGACCTGTTGTCATCACAGACTGGTCGACTTCATATGATGTAACTCACGTGATAACCACAAATACATCCAAAGATAAAGGCGAGAAGTGCAGAATCCCTCACTATAGTGTAAGCTATGTAGCCAAACATCTTTTTGGGGTAAAGGAACTCTTTGTATTATTTGCTTTAAAAAAAAAAATAAAAAAAATTAGTTTATAAAAGTGACACATATATCATTGTTAAATCATCATCATGTCATTTCAAACCTGCTGTACTGTTTTGACATTTTATTGCACACAGAATGAAGAATTTTTTTTTTTTTCATACAACAGAACATGTAGTGACTAGTGACTGTCAAGCGCCAAACAGGACAAAAAAGCTCTATAAAAGTTCTCCATAAAAATGTTCATGTTATGGACATAGAACCTTGGTGCACTGTTTTTGTTGTGCAAAGGTTTGATGGCCATGGTACTAAACAGTGCTTTGGGATATTGCAGACAAGACATATGGACTAATTTTCTGAGACTTTTTTGGTGTTTTTTTACTTAGTCACTATGTCACTAGTATGTTGTATTGGAAAGAGAACATTCTGCAAAACACCTTGTGTTCCACTGAATAAAAAAGTATACAGGTATAACAACATAAACATAATAAATTATGATATTTTGGGGTAAACTATTCCTTTTACTCTCATGACTAAATTGGACTTATTAAAATATTATGTAGTCTAAAAATCTATTAACAATCATGTTTGTTTTCTTAATACTTTTATTCAGGAAGTAGCATTAAATTCACTAAAAGTGACAGTCATTTTTTTTCTCTTTTTATCAAAAATAATTTTGTCTCTTGAGCATTCAAACTTTAAAAATATAAAATTGTAATAAAATTTCACAATACCGCTGTATTGTTACTGTATTTGTAATAAATAAATGCAGCCTTGGAGAGCAGAGAGGTCTCTTAAAAAAAAAATAATAATAATAATAAAATCTTACCAACCCCAAACATTTGATAGTCTATTTGCAAACAAAAACAAAATGCTCTTTTGATTTGGACAGCTTTTACTTTTTACATTAAACCTCAGAATTTGCTATTGGTGATTTATTTGTTGTCTTTCTTTTGCAGCATGTTTGCTCAGAGTTAAACTGGTCCTGTAATTTGGAGTCCTTCGATGAAGAAGAGAGCTGTGAAATGGCCATCGATGTTGCTGCAGTCATTGAGTCTATGGATGTTACTGATGACCTTTCACAAGAAGAATTGGAGGAAATGCTCAAAGAATACATCATAATAATGGAGGTCTAATATATTTTTATTCTCCTCATCCACTTTTTATTCTGGTACTTTTATATATCATTTTGAAACATAATTATGGCTTTCACAGATGGATTTTGGGCACAAATGAGAAAGTTGTCATGGTTATCAATGTAATTTCTATAAAGTATGACCTTACATGACATCTCGTTTCAGCAACGGAAGAAAATGCTTTTGACATTCCCAGAGTTCTACAGCTACTACACACCCAACCTGCCAGTTCAGGTATTCAAATCTGTGAAAAACTTTTCAACAAACCTATCTGCCATACACAAGCTGTTAAAGTACAGAGAGGATCTAGAGGATCGGGTCATTCAATTTCCTGTGTGTCACATAGAGGAGTAATAAACGCAGGGCTCATCACAGCCAGGTCACCTGATTTAGGCAAATCCGTTTGATCGGTACGCTCATGATTGGCATACCCATTAAAGAAACATTGCAATGTGCCTCCACTGGTTTCTCAAGCGGAAATGTCCGAATGCACTCATTTGACACTGACCCTGAGAACACATTATCATCAGTCATCTTATTTCCTGTATGTCTTTCTTTCTCTGTTTCTCTTGTACTCAGATTCCAGCGGTAGATTTCAGCAATGTGCAGAGCTTGGTAGAGTGTGCCTTCTTCCCTCAAGCTCTGGAGGAGATTCTGGGGTCCCTGCAGCCTGGAGTGATGCCCCCAGCCACGCACTGCATGTATGTATAATAAGAGCTATTCTAAATCCCAGAGGCACTTATAAAGCACTGTTACATTCAGTTGGTGTTATCTTTCTTAAAAAGCAAAGTGTGGTAGTTTCTTTTTCATTAAGGATGTTGTAAGGATTGTGATTTCTGATACATAAAAACAGCGTTCTTTACCACCCACTGAAAGTCTGTTCACACAAAGTGCAAAAATTCATGGCAATAAGATGTTAAAAAGTATTTTTTTCTTTATGCAAAAACTCACTACTGTGTTTAACAATTGCCATTGTTGTTCTCTGTATACAAATAGCATACTGCTGGCATAGAGTCAAGCTAAATGAAAGTGAGTACAGAATATGACAAGCAATTGCATATATATATATATATATGTATATACTGTATAGCATGTGAGGTCAGTAATATATATATATATTTTTATAAATGAATACTTTTATTTAGCAAAGACACATTAAATTGATAAAAAATAAATACATTTATAATGTTACAAAAGATTTTTATTTTAAATAAATGCCGTTCTTTTGAACTTTCTATTCATCAAAAAATCCTGAAAATATGTGCCATGGTTTTCACAAAATATTAAGCACTGCTACTGGTTTTTCAACACTGATAAAAAGAAGAAATGTTGCTTTCGCTCAAAATCAGCATATTCAAATGATTTCTGAAGGATCATGTGACAAAGAAGACTGGAATAATGGCTGCTAAAACACAGGAGTAAATAGTATTTTAAAATATATTAATTATTTAATATATAAATTTTTGATCAAATAAATGCAGCCTTGATGAGCATAAGAGACTTCTTTAAGAAAAATTCAGACAATCTTACTGGCCCTAAATATTTGAATGCTAAGTTTGTGAATTTTGAATGTGTCTAAAAATAAAAATAATAATTCCTATATTTATAGAATTGTTTGTGTTATTATTTGCTGTCATTAAATTATGATTGTGGATATATCAGAATTATACAGGCCATCAGCCACCTTCCTCTCTTGGTATCTGTTTTGAAAACTGAGGTTTATGTAATGATCTGAACTCTTCAGAATAGATGGAACTGTTTAAAAATGTATTTTATTACAAGAGCTTGTTTACATATCCCTTTTTCTGGTTTGACCAGATAACCCAGTCTTTGCTCTTGCTCTCCTACTTAGGTTGATGCAAAGCCATTGTACCTCAGCATGTTTATCACAGTTCTCCACAGTATCCTGCACAACAATCCTACCTGGGGTTCTCCTGGACACACAAAGTACTTTCTCCAGATCCTCCAGTGTCCAGAATGTAAGGGCGGCCTCTGGTCACTTCTTGAAACATCAGTTCAGTATGAAACTGTCAATATACCTGTCAGTAATGCCATTTTGTCTGATTTATTCAAGAGTGTGTCTAGCAAGCGAACCCACCTGTCACTCACTGCCAAGCCCACCATCCACTGAGTTGTTTCGTCTCCATTGTAACCTGCAGGAGTTCTTCCTGAGACTCTTTCAGCTGGAGCTTCATGCTGCTAGCTCAGGGTGAGCACCTGAGCTCTGTTCATCTCTGCTGCAATAAAACAACAGCTTTTTGATTCTGCATGAGCCCAAAGAAAAGAAACTGCAGTATTTTTCCACCCCTCCACAAAATAAACACAGACAAAACATGTCATAAAGAATGTAGAGATAAAACACAATATGTAGCTGCTTGGAGATATGCTGATGTCTTACTGTTCACCTTGTTTTGAAGATAAAGACCGTACTATTTACATTCGGTCTGGTTTGATAGAAAGACAATGGTTAAGTAACTGCGTTAACCATAGATATTAATGCCTAGATTGTACATTAGCAACTATTCTTTATTGCCATCACATATCTACGTATCCTCCATATTTGACAGGATGACATATTTTATATTTAATGGATAACTGAATAAACTATATTACATAAACCCGAACCTAAAATGTTGCCGGTTTCAACATAGCAGACCTGTCATTGTATCTGTAGCAGCTGTATCTACATATTAATATTAATATATATGGCAACTCTGTCTTCCTCTCTGCGGGAGGTCACCCGGAAGCAGTCGGGCGTCTGTTCTGTACAGTACCTTCTGGAACATGTGGGAGAAGTCCACTCTGACCACCAGGGCGGTTCAGTAACTCAGCAAGCTGCTGATTAAGACTACTCTGGGCTTTCAACTCCACTCAGGTGTCATTCAAGTCTTCTCCTTTCATGCTAAAAATGATGGCCACTATATGGTTTATTGAAATCTTCTGTTTTAGACATTTATAAGTTTGCTGGTTTCATTTTGCGACGTTATTGTGTTGTGACCTAAGCTCATAAAGATAACTTCCCGGCTTAAACTAAAATTTGTCACATTACACCTGTATGCCAACAACATTATGCCAACAGATTTCCACATTAAATACACCATTTTGTAGAGTCATCAGGCGGTGCAGGCTGAGTTTACTGTGTGTTTGTGTGCAGGAGTGGAGGCTGGGAATGTGGGTCACTCTGCAGGAGACTGTGTGTAGTGGTGGAGTTCTGGGCTCAAGAACACAGTCCGCTCAACAGCAGTCTGGTGGAGAAAGGCTTTAAAGACCTGGCAGAACACATTGCCATACTGTGCCAAGGTATC